GTGAGTTAAGCTTTGTTTTTATAATTTTTTTCTTTTATTTTTTTTTAAGTTGGTTGCAATTGTAGTGTATGTGTAGTATACGAAGTCGTGCCGCTTCTCTTAATTACGGCCTCCTTTCTCGTCACATTCGCGTCTCAGATGACCACTCTTGCCGCAGCCATAGCATGTCTTCGCCGTATCCGGGCAATTCTTGGAAATGTGACCTGTGCGGTTGCACTTGTAACACGAAATGTTGCTTACATTTCTATCATTAAGAGCCTCCGGGCAATTACGCGCCCAGTGACCGAGCTTGTTGCACTTGTAACAAGTGGGATTATCAGCCTGTGTGCATTCCTTCGAGATGTGACCAATTCCGTTGCAACGATAACAGCGTTCTGCTTCCTCAGGACAGGTACGCGCAAAGTGCCCAACTTGATTGCACTTGTAGCACTTTTCCCGAGCACCACCGCGTCTCATATCGCGCCCTCCTCCTCCAACCATGCCGCCACCGGCATTGCAGTCGCGGGCAAAGTGGCCTGGACGGTTGCACTTGTAACACGTGGGAGCTGACATATTTCTTCGGTACTAATCTGCTATCGCGGGTTCCTTACCAACTAAAAGTCTTTGCCACAGTCCAAACGTTAAAACAACTAAATGCAGCGCGCTCCTCTCGGTGAAAATTGCTTTCACCACTCCACGCACTGAACACAAATCGAAATGGCTGCCGACGTCGACGTTCGTCCAACAGCGCCTCCGACTAACGTTTGCAAAAACGCCCCAAACTCGAAAACCAGGGTTGCCTGTGGCTTTAATTTTATATAAGTGCTGCCAATCCTTTGAATAACATATTCGCTAGTGAATGGAAATAGAAATTCCATTCCATTGTTGCATAAATCAATTTCCCTTTAATGGGATAATTATTGTCAAGCTATATTAGGCCGGACATGAGTACACTGATCTTCCGTTTAGTACACATTAGGCAGCGTGGCAGATACTTCATTTTATCCTCGCAAGATGGCGCTGAGGAGTCCAGCCATAGCCCTCTGCGAAAGGGGTTACTTTAATGCAAGGGATACACATCGAAAATGCACCGGACAGTACCCACCACCTGAGGCCAGTGCTGCCAAATCATGAACTTTAATTTATACAACAATGCCCAATAGTGTTGCCACCAAAATTGAACTTAATTTCGTGGCACTATGTACCCAACCGACGTTAGCACCTCATTAGTAAAAATATTGTTACGATTATCCTTGAATACTTGACGGATTTACCAAAAAGCCCTACGTTCATATCGCCCTATCATATTGATTTGCCGCAGTATTCGCCATACTGTCCTCCACCTAAGTCTGCTGTTCCGAATGCTGCAAGCCTTTCCAAGTGGACCACCTTCATCTTGGTTCTCGGTCTCCCAACGGTCTGGGTTCGATAGACTGCGACATTCAGAAGTTTAACAATCTTACGTCGTTGTTTGGAGGTGAAGCCTTTCTTTCGCTCCGGCTTGTACATCAACACAAAATCCCCTTCCTGTAAATCCTCTCGGCTCAATGCGTTACTGAACATTACTTCCGGCTTATGTCCGGGAGTGCACCATCTCACATGGCCGTGCTTCTGCCGGCCACTGGTGGTGACCAGACCATGTCTCTTCTCATGGGCACTATTTTCGCCGGATTTACGCCGCATCCTCTGGCCATGACTACGAGGCTTCGATACTCGAGCTGCACTGCCTTTTTTTTTTTTAGATTGGCGCTTACACATATGCTAGTGTTTGGCCGAGCTTCTCCTCCGACTTGTGGCGTGCGCCTTGGTGTTGTCACACAAAGCGGAGGGACCTACAGTTTTACGCCGACTCCGAACGGCGATTGTATATTTATGAGAAGCTGTTTTTCATGGCAGAAATACACTCGGAGGTTTGCCATTGCCTGCTGAGGGACGACCGCTGCTAAGAAAAAACCTTTTTCTATATTTTTTGCGATGTTGCTTTGACCAGGGCTTGAACCCGGGTGCTGATGAGTGAAAGCGCGCACTGCTTACCACTACACCACAGCGGCCGACATCCTCGCTTCCTATACTCTACTCGTAAACTCTTGAGTTAACTATACAAAAAATTTCGTTGAACTCTCCTTAAACACCACTCTTAGGCACATTACGCGCCTAATCAAAGTAGAGTAATCGTTTCATCATACCGAAACGAATGCATGACGACTCGACTTAAACTAATAAGGAAACTGTTTGTGGGTTTTTATTCTTCAATTTCACAAAATAAACCTTTTTAAATACAAAATATATTGTTTTGTTGGGAATTTGCTGCGAATAAACAACCAATTTATCAGCTGTTCATGAAACTTGCAAATTATTACTGGAAAAGCGTTCACGTACTTTATTGCAAATTTTTTCTATGAAAGCGAATTCTTAGAAATAAAGTTACTGGAGAGTTGCTGGCAGCGTTGCCATTTTAGCCGTTTTCCGGCTAGTCTTAGCCGGTTTTGATAGCAACTAGCCGGAGAAAATTCGATCTAGCCGGCAGCCGATTTGTTAGCCGGTTTGTAAAAAAAAGTTAGCCGTTTTTAGCCGATTTTACTATTTGCCTAATTTTCAGGTGCAAAAAGTAAACAAGTTGTTCGAAAGCAATAATGCAGACCCAATGAAGATTTTGAATGAACTCAATGTTTTACTTTCGCATCTATGCTCCCTAGTGGTTATTAGCGCGGACACATTTGATCCTATATGCTCCCCGTTGGAACCATACCTTGCTCCATTTCCTCAGTTTTATCTCAGTTTTGAAGAGTATTTAAAAACAAAAGTAAGCACAAACGCTTTTGACCACGAAGCCGAGAAAATGGTCGCTATTTTATTATCACTTTAATAAAGGAATTACGCCAACGCCTCCCTACAAATATTGCCACACTAAAAAAAATTGATTTTTTTCGGTTGGGAATGCATTAAGAGTAATTAAACCAAAAGTATTTGTTCAACTACAGCAACAAAAACACAAATATAATGCCGACGAAATAACATCCATAGAGATGCAGTGGCAACGGTTAACGTTACATACCTGGAGTAATTTAGACTCAACTGTAAAATTTTGGGCCGAAGTTTATCAATTTCGAAATGCCCTAGGAGAAAACCCTTTTGCTGACCTTTGCAACCTAGTTTTTAGTTTTCTTGTTTTGCCTATAAGTAATGCAGAAGTAGAGCGAATATTTAGTTCAATGAATATAATAAAAACTAAGCAAAGAAATCCAATGTGCGTTAAAACGTTAAACGCTATTTTATATATAAGATACGGTTTAAAACGTGAAGAAAAATGCTGCCATAATTTTACTGTAGATGACGATCTCTTAAAATTAATGAATTCAGGTGATATATACAATAGTGATTCATTTGATGATGAGGAATATACACTCGATATAAATGAATGGTGTTAACTAGTCTTTCGTTTCTTGCGATTTATTTAAATGAAGCATGTGAATTTTCACTAAAACATTTTAGCCGTTTTTTGCCAGTCTATGTGAAATTTCACTAAAACATTTTAGCCGTTTTTAGCCGCTTTTTTTTGCCAATCTAGCCGGTCGGCCCAAAAAGTTCTGGCAACACTGGTTGCTGGCAAGTTACTGGATAATTTGTAAAAAAACACAACTAATGCAAACCTTTTTTTACCGAATTTGGTTTGTGTCTTTGATAATCGAAACCTGCAACCAACTTGCCGACAGTGTTCCCGCACTGCAGGATTTAAGGCCCGTCCACATAGAACTTTGGCGTTGCGTTGGCGTTGGCGTCGCTTCAACAGCTGACTATGAATACATGAATTCAAATGCAGCCGTCCACATAGCCAAAATTCGACAACGCTCACGCCAACACAAAGCAAAAAGATGGCCAACTCTCAACTTTTCGAGTGCGTCGCTCGTCAGCTGTTGCAAAAAATAAAATTATGTGAAATATTTTCCTTTGGGCAAGAAATATCGTTTTTAATGCAATTATTGATATGAAATATTAATTTATCTGTCGTTAGTATGCTAATTTAGTAGCCCAGCCATTCGCTGCCAAGCGTTCATTGTAGCAAGCATACTTTTAACGTGCGTTCTGTCAAACCAACGCCAACGCCAAAGTCAACGCGAAAGTTTTATGTGGACCGGCCTTTAATCAGAAATAGTCCGAGGTCGTTCCGGTCACATAAGTCTATAATATCAACAATATTGCTATGCAAAAACCCACTTAACTTCTTTTATCGGCTTTGATTTTTATTTGCACCAAACTCAGTTTAAACGTCCGATCGGGCTGGTTTGAACTAAGATTAGCCAATCAGATGTCAGCCAGCTGTTCAATTTAAACTCAGTTTACTTAATTTAAGTTGAAACTGACCCTGAAAAACTGGCCCTTAGTTTCTTAAACATTCCAATGTGAACACTTGACAGTTCATAAACTCAAAACGTTAAACTCGAGCTTATGTGTTTTTTTACAAATTATCCAGTAACTTGCCAGCAACTCTCCAGTAACTTAATTTCCAAGAATTCGCTCTCATAGAAAAAATTTACAAAAAAGTACGTGAACGCTTTTCCAGTAATAATTTGCAAGTTTCATGAACAGCTGATTAATTGGTTGTTTATTCGCCGCATATTCCTAATAAAACAATATATTTTATATTTAAATACGTTTATTTTGTGAATTTCCGCAATAAAAAGCCGCAAACAGTTTCCTTATTAGTTTAAATTTCATCCAGCAAAATGCAATCAGCTGTTTTTCGTACTGGCAAATTCTTACAAGTAAAAATTTATCCAGTAAAAACTTGCAACTTCAGCTGTCATTTTTCGCTCTCTCAATTTCCCCTACTTTGCAAGTTTTTGCGTACGAAAACGCCAAAACATGAAAATTCGTTAAAACTTTTACTGGATTTTACTGGAAATGAGTAAAAAAAACGCAACTAATGAGAACATAATTTTACGCTTTAATTTTTTTTGTTGGCCTTAACACCCTCTGATGTTTCGTTTTCTAAAAAGGAATCATTGTATTCGGAACTTTTAGTCGCCCTATACTTAGCAATCATCTGATATCGAATTGGCAATTTCAGGAAATCAAGGAATTAGTTGACAATAAACACGTTCATGTAAATAATAAAAATGCTGCACCGCTACCGGTGTTAACAAGTGATTGACCACAAATAGTAGATAAGAAATGAGCTCGTTGACATGCCTAAATCCCATCGCGATTGCATTCAATTTGCTATTGCTTGTGATAGTGCCCTTATCAGGTAGGTTTCTATTCAGTTGTCAGGCTTCGATCGAAATGCCATAAATGACACTCATTTGATTACTATTCCTTTAGGAGTACATCATCCACCTATTCACGACATAATTACAACGCAAGATATAATAGCTGGAGATGTTTTCTTCGAGATAACAGATCCTGCCGTACTGGAGTATACGTATCGCCTGCGACCGGCAAAAGATTTCGGCGTATCATTTGTGTCACGTCGATTCGTGGGAATTGGACTAGTGCTAACAGTTCCTTCGGATGCATGCTCAAAAATACAAAATCAACGCGAACTTCGCGGGAACGTAGCGTTAATTGAGCGAGGGTGCGTATGTTAGCTATAGTATAGGTTCAGCTTTCATTAAAAATTTATGAGTGTTACGTGGCCTAATGGCTTATGCGCTTGTCACACAAACGAGTGAATGAATCGTGTTTATAGTTGACCACATATGTGTTTAATGTATCAATTAAACTTGCAACCTCTAAAATTAATTTTTGTGTGTTTTATCAAAACCATTTTTACTAATATCTAAAAATTTTAATTTTTTCGCTTTCGTTCGGATATACATTTAATTAGTTCTTTTTGTTGCAGCGAATGCTCATTTCTCACCAAGACGATTAATGCTGAGCTTGCTGGCGCTAAAGCTGTTATTATCACTGAATTCAACAATGAATCAGCTGAGTTTGATTATTATATCGAAATGATACATGACAACACCAGCAGAGATGCTCACATACCAGCTGGATTTTTGCTGGGCAAAAATGGTATTGTGATACGGTCGACGCTGCTGCGGTTACGTCGGCCACAAGCTACCATAAATTTGCCTGTCAATTTAACATTTGTGCCACCCGCTCAAATCAATCATCCACCATGGCTAGGTTGGTAAAGCTACAAAGTGAAAGAAAACAAACTCTAACGTACACCAAAAATAATAACCAAATAGCATTCTTGAAACCCATCAGCCACAGAGGCTGCGGAAAGTAAAAAAAAGTGCATAATAAATTTTAATTTTTATAGAACAATGTCTAGGACAAAATTATTTTTCGAAAGAAAGGCTAACAGCACATTGAATGTTATTATTAACAAGTGGTATAATACACGCAGTTGCAGCACTGCTAAACGGTCAACAAAGGAAATCGTTTGTTTATTAAAAAGTCTAAGTCATAACATGGAGCTGCTATGTACTAAATCTTTAAACAATTGAAGCAATAAATTATTTTCTTAAAATATTGTAATGAGTAACTAAATATTAGAACAGGGCTTAATGATATTAAATTAAAATAGCCACGCTTTAAATAAGTAATATTTTTTAGTAAATCTCTAGCCACGTAGTTTATATTTTGTGTTAGCTGGGCAACTATAGTTTTTTTTTTAACTAAAATTGTACAGATTGTATAAATAAAATAAATAGAAATTCTAAAGTTTATTTATGGATTCAATCGAACGAGTTGTGTAAGAATTGGGAGCTGAAATAGATGTTTGAATAATGAGGACGTCCCCATACAGATTATACCAAATAACAGTATAAAAAATTAGTTATGCCTAAGCAGCCTATGTTCCACGAAACCTATTTTTTTAACTTTTGTGGCTTAACAACAAAAGCCGGTGATAATAATTGGTTTCCATGGCAGAAACACAATCGGAGTTTTGTCATTGCATGCCGAATAGCGACCGCTATTCGAATTTTAATTTTATTTTTTTTATGTTAGTCGGAAACTGGGCTTGAACCCAGGCCTTGCGGATTGGTTGTTGGGCTTGTTGTTGTAGCGGCTACAATAGGTTTGTTCCGCGCGGGCCCGCGGGATCCCGCGGGTGCCCAAAAGAGCCCCGAAAGCGTTCCTCACGCTAGAAAAATGGGTAGTAGAGAGCGAATACCTTCCACTTTTTTAGATCATAAATGTCTTCTAGAAATGAATTTGAAATACGAGTTGTTTGCTTACATTCGAAAGAAAAAAAATGGAAAATAGAACTAAACTTTCAGAAATATAGGTATTTGCCTATTTTATTAGCTATATAAGATAAATCGTCGCTGGAATAATGAAATAGTGTAACATGAAAAGTATAGTTTTGAGAAAAACGAATTGGAAGTTTTTATAAACCATTACAAACCATACAAATACAATTTCGTTTTTCGGGAATAAATTAGTGAGCCAAAGAGATATTTAAGAAAACTAAAGATTTTTCTAATAGATTTAAGGATTGTCTATCCAATGGTGCAATTATCGAATAATAGTGTATGTGGCATTTACACTGTTTCTTTATTCGAGCGACGAAAAACACATAAAATCATTGTTTAGAGCTGATTTGTTGATTCCGGGCACGAAATGTGGTTTTTGCGTTCCTCACGCTCTGGGCACTTTTGGCATGTGAGAGAATAACTTATTTTTAAGCTCTAATTACCGAAACAGACCGGAAAGCGTTGGTACAAAGCTAATGGTAGCGCGCAGTGCTTACCACAACACCACAGCGGCTGCCATGGATGCTTTGTGATAACGACAGTATAGTCTACGTAACCGTAACGACCCAGATTTACATCTGGCCAAGAACTGTAACTCCAACATAACTCCCCAAAAATTCTTTGAGGTATTTGTATGCTGTTACAACAACAACAACAAACTAAATTTTTAGTTAAACACCGAAAAATACTAAATGCAAACACTCAAATCTCTATACATACGTAACCGGAACGACCCACATTTAGGGCCGGTGGTTCAATGTCTGATTAACACTAATCGGAGGTAGAAGCTCCGGTTAAATACAACGACTGCTTTATCGATCACATGTTATATGCATGATGACGAAAACGTCAATAATGATGTTTAACGGGCAAGTAGTGATAACCAAACATTGAACAACCGGCCCTTAGTATATCTCGCTAAGGATTGGGCCGATCTCTTGCAGCACTCACCGAAAAAAACCTTTTGGCAATTTGTATGTTACAACTAAATAAAGATGTCCATATAAACGTAGTACGTACCTTGGATGGTGAGCTAATGCTTTACCAAGTTGCTTGAATTTGGATCAACGAATATACAGGAAGAGGTAATACTCGCTTTTCAAAAATTTCACACTTCCGTACCGGAACTCATAAAAATTTGATAACATCGTGTTTCCAGTGCCGCTACAGCAATAAAAACAACATATTGGCCTTCAGCCGTTGCAAATTTCACGAAGCTTAGCGCTTTGCCCGTATTGAATAAAAAAATATCGCACTAGATATACACAATTCACTTCACAATCACTTTCTTCCATGCATACTTTTATTTGAAATACACTTAAGCGTTTCAAATCACTAAATAATGTGCATTTGACAAATTTTATGCGACGAGTCACAAAGGAGACGATTCGCGCGAAATAACGGAACATGAACTGACAGCAATTAGAGTTGCCAGTTATATGGTAAAAGAAATTTCAAACATAGGCTGGTACAGGGTGCAAACGATGATTTTCCGTATTCAGTCTGATTTTTTTTTTGAACCCAAACAACCCCTGCAAAAATCGTTGGACCATGTAGTCTATTTGTGGTATATTGGAGTACTTACAAAAGTGCTCCTCTGTCATGCTGTAGCGGACCAACTCGTGTCTCTGCGCCAGCTTATTGTTTGTTACCCGAACACTGCTCGTGTTTTAACGAAATGTGATTGAAGTTAAGCATTTGAAGTACATTGCATGTCTGGCTGTAGCTGAACGTGTAGAGACGCTAGCTGTTAGTTCTTAGCTCCCAGCATGTTCGGGTTCGAATGTCGTCAGAGGCAACATTTAATTTTTAATTTTTGTCTTTGGCTTTTATTAATTTCAAAAAAAGCATATGCGAAGTGAAGAACAAAAACGCGTACAAACGAAAAAATATAACGACAATGTCATTGGAGTATGTTGGGAGTAGTTTTGTGCTACTCTGATGTAATGCAGAGATGGAGTATATGGTCCTGCCCTAGGACATCGCAATGTTAATTGGACCATATTTTTTATATGAATTGTGGTTAATTTTGGAGTACTCCTTGGTCCTTCGGGAGTACTCCTTACATGCATGCATGGAGTAGTCGCGATTTTTGCAGGGAAATGCCGGAACTGTAAAATGTAAAAAATTAATTATAAATGTTTGGCTTACTTAGGGTTTATACCGGACAATATTAGTTGCGTTTGTTTACTCATTTCCAGTAAAGTCCAGTAAAAGTTTTTACGAATTTTCATGTTTTGGGGTTTTCGTACGCAAAAACTTGCAAAGTAGAGGAAATTGAGAGAGCGAAAAATTAAAATTGAAGTTGCAAGTTTTTACTGGATAAATTTTTACTTGTAAGAATTTACCAGTACGAAAAACAGCTGATCGCATGTTGCTGGATGAAATTTATACTAATAAGGAAACTGTGGGTTTTTATTGCGGAAATTCACAAAATAAACATATTTAAATATAAAATATGTCGTTTTATTAGGAATATGCTCCGAATAAACAACCAATTTATCAGCTGTTCATGAAACCTGCAAATTATTACTGGAATAGCGCGTACTTTTTTGTAAATTTTTTCTATGAGAGCGATCTTTTAGAAATAAAGTTACTGGAGAGTTGCTGGCAAGTAACTGGATAATTTGTAAACAAACACAACTATTGTCAAGACAATTATGTCAAAATGATGTGTTTGTTGTAATATGAATTCGCCGTGTTCATAACAAATACATCATTTGACATAATTGTCTTGACAATATTGTCTGGTGTAAACCCTTAGTTAGAAACAAACTTTAAAAATGGACGAACAATAAAGAAATAAAGAACAATCGACGTACTATCGACTGCAATAATAATCATCCCATAATCAGTTGCGGGTGCTAAATACAGGAATTAGGTAAAGTGAAAATTTAAAAATTAGTTATAAATCTTTGGCTAACAAACAAACGTTAAAAATGGACGCACCTTAAAGAATAATCGACGAACTAATTAATATTACTAAATACAAAATATTAATATTTATACTAATGGGGTGCTAACGTTGGTTGGGTTCAAAAAAAAAGTTCAAACTGAATACGGAAAACTATGAATCATCGTGTGCACCCTGCGTAGATACCAGCCTATGCTGGAAATTTCTTTTACCATACAACTGGCAACTCTAATTGCTGTCAGTTCAAGTTCCGTTATTTCGCGCGGATTGTCTCCTTTGTAGATTCGTCGCATAAAATTTATCAAATGTATATTATTTAGTGATTTAAAACGCTTAAAAGTATATTTAAGTTGAAATGAAAGTGATTGTTAAGTGAAATGGTATATCTAGTGCGATATTAAATACGGGCAAAATGCTAAGCTTCGCGAAATTTGGAACGGCTGAAGGCCAATGTGTTGTTTTTATTGCTGTAGCGGCACTGGAAACACGATGATATCAAATTTGTATGAGTTCCGGTACGGAAGTGTGAGACTTTTGAAAAGCGAGTATTACTTCTTCTGTTATATCCGTTGATCCAAATTCAAGCAAATGGGTGAAGCAAGGTACGTACTAGGTTTATAAGGACATTTATTTAGTTGTAACGTACAAATTCCCGGGTTGGCTTTCAATTACATCGGTTTTTGGGTGTTTTCACAAAACTATCACGGATTTTGTCATGAAACTTGGCGGTGATGTTAAGTATCGTATATATTTACATTATTTATCACTCTTTTCACTTTATTAGTACGAATTTTTAATTAATTTGGTGTTAAATTCTTTACAGTTTCACTAGCAAATTTTTATATAAAAAGTGCAATTAACACTTAATAATAATAATAATAATAGTAATATATTGGCACTTACACATATGTTAGTGTTTGGCCGAGCCTCTCCGATTTGTGGCGTGTGCCTTGATGTTGTCACACAAAGGGGAGTGACTTACAGTTTTACCCCGACTCCGAACGGCGATGTTGCTTTGACCAGGGCTTGAACCCACGCATTTTGTCATTTTTAACTTCCAAACCATGAAATTCAATTTTGTGATTTGCGTAAATTCCAACGAACTATTTTTGATCAGCCGTTTTCCTGTTGGCAAAAATTTTCCAGCAGAAACTAGCAGCTTCCCCTCAAATGAAATGTCACTTTGCTCTCTCAATTTCCCCTACTTTGCAAGTTGTTTGCGTACGCAAACTCAAAAACCTAAAAGTTTCAGTTAACATTGAACAATTAACAGGTACACGAACGCAACTATTATTGCCATCCAACAAGAATAATAGAGCATTAGCTGACTATGCAGGTTGCCTGAGAAATTAATTGAA